TAAAATCAGAAAAGGACTTTAATTGTAAGCGACACAAGTATACGACAAACAAAGGAATTGCTTCCTACTTTTTCCTGATGTTTGTTATTATTGAACTAAAAATGCATATAGCTATTTTTATAAACCTTTTTTTTTATTTGTTTATTTATTTACCACTTATGCATGTTGACAATTGTCTATGACCAGATATGTTTTTAGTGGACAAAATCAGCTTAACTTGAAAAAGCATGAAAATATTTTTTATTTGATTTAGTGATTTAGTCGAGTTAGTTTGGCATCAAACACGATGTGACTTTCGGCAGATCTGGCAGCAACAGATATATCCTCCTGAGACCCAGCTATGGAGTTTTAGCCTCTGTAGTGGACTTTATATGTTAGTGTATTTCTCGGAGACCTCACACATCACAGGTGTAAGTCTGGAGTCCTGTACGGAGCACATCCAGGGCTTTCCAGAGACACCACATGATTGGATGTTTCACCCTCACCACTCCCTCTCCTTGGTTTTTAAAAATGCCTGACATTAATTTAGTGGTACATCCTTATGGAAATATGATCATATTTTGTAATTATAATTTAAATCTGATTAATTTTCAAATTGTTTGTCATAAATCAACATCTCAGGAAAATGTTATGGGGTTTCAAATCAAAATATGACCTTCTGTTATGAAACAGGACATCATTTCATACACGTCCACTGTAGAGGACACCAGGACTAAACGCATGTTTATTACACATGTTGGGAGACAAAAGAATTGAATAGGAAAGCAAATTATATATGAATATTCTTATGAAATATTAGATATTATTATGAAAATCTGGCCAATTACTACTCCCTTTTTTTCAACATGCTGTGCCAACAGCACTTTAACATGCAAATTAGATGCAGTGTATAACATTGTGCTTAATGGGAAAACCAGTTTATGGAATTTTTACACATATTGCATAAAGCAAAATTGTTTATCAAATCATTTTATGTGTTTTATAACATAGTTGAGAGCCATCCTTAAACAAAGTTAGTTATAAAAAAAATCCTGAAACCTAAAAATTGATTGCTGATTTAAAAAAAAAAAAAAATGACATGCCTTTTCATGTCTGCTCTTGTCATTTTATCCAGAGGGACGTAGCATAACTTATGAATAAAATATAATTTTACAAAAATGTTATTTTACCATTTTTTTCTTATGCTCTAAACAATGTGACGACGTGAAAAAAAAAAACTAAATTCACAAAGCTTTTTATTTCTGGCTCTCAGGAGGATATACATAGAGATATAGACTTCTCTATGAGAGGCACCCTCTGAACGCGCATGCGCACAGGCTGCGCTCTTACGCGTCTGCTTCTATGGCAACGCAGCGGGACTCATGGGAATTGCGTTCGCTGTTTGGAAAACCGGAAGTGGAGGGAGATTCGAAAAACAGCGGAGTAAACAGAGTCGGAGTGTGTTTACTGAAGTCATGGCATGATGGTAGAGTAATACAGACGCTTCAGCATGAGTTTGTGGCTCTACAGAAGCTGAGTTGGCGCGTGTGAGCTTGTGTTGACATGCTGCAGCTAACGCTAATCGCTAATCCGCGGACTCATGTATTCCTGGAGTACTGATCGAGTTCAGAATCATGCTAGTTAGCATTTGTGCATGTTTGTTTCTTGGGAATAACAGATGTTTGTGTTTATACTCATCTAATACTTAGTTTTGGCTGCTGATTTGATTTATCCGACTGCAGCTGCGGTTAAAAGTTGTACGTTACATAAAATAATAATAATAACGCAATTAATTTGAGGTTACTTAGAGTAAATATCATTTATATTTACTTAAATCTCTTATTTTGGCTGCTGATTTGATTTATCTGACTGCTGCGAATGAATTTGGTTAATAATAATAACGCAAAAAAAATAAATAATAATAATGCAATTAAGGTTAGGTTATTTAGAGTAAATTATATATATATTTCTTTAATTATAAGCATTTACTTGAATATCTTTTTTTTTTGTTTAGCAGCTGATTTGATTTATCTGCCTGAATCTTTTTTAAATTATTATAATGCAATTAATTTTAGATTCTATATCACAGACTGAGTCGGTGTGATCGTTTTCA